AAAAAAAAAAAAAAAAAAAGAAAAGAAAAAGAAAAGAAAGAAAGAAAGAAAGAAAAAAAAAATAAAAAACAATAATAGTTTACTGTCTATTAATATGAATTTACAATATTCTTACACCCATCAATTTTGCTGTTCCACCCGTCATTGTTCTTTCTTTCTTTTTCTTCTTCTTGTGCATGGAAATAATAATTTTCATTGTTGTGTCACTCATTTTTTTTTCCTTTTGTTTCTTTTGTGCAGTTGAACAAAGTTGTTACTGGACCAAGACATCCAGGAGTCATTGGCGATCGAGGATCTGGTTCTTTTTCTCGGGAAAGTGAGTTTTTTATTCTCAGTGGAATTTCTATATACACAGATAACTGCGTTTACATATCTATTTGTTTATTTGGATAAGAAAGATAAATTTGTCTATTCATAGAAAAAGGGAGGAAGTACAAAAGAAGGAGATGGCTACCCCAAACTGCCAGAGGGGATTCCCAATTGGCATAAATTTGCAACAAAATAATACCATAAAAGTTGCTGTGGAGAGAGCACCAAAATAGAAGATTATATCTTAATTAGACCCCCAAGAACCTTGTAAGCTCGAGCTGTGCTTATGTCCTGGACAAGTATTCCTATCCCTTTCAAGTTTCAAACAAAAGTCTCCGAAGGAAGGCCACCAGTGCATTAAATCAAAAGATCTTGATCTTGGCCTTGCCCAAGTTTAACTTTTGGGGAAGGCCTAGCTTAACTTAAAAATACTGAAATGCTCAAACCTACAATAGGTTACAAATGGACAAAGGAAAACAAGATATAGGTCATCTTCCGGATTTTTCCTGCACATTACGTTCCTGTTAGGGGGACAACGATGCCAAAAACATTCTTTTGCAATCTGTTGCCGGTATTAAGTAGGCCAAAATGCCTAGCAAACTCTCACACCTCCTTGACACCTTAGCTTTCCAGATGGTACCGATAAAGGGATTGATTAACATCAGCCTCGTCACCATCTTATTTACAAGAGATTTCACTGAGTATGCGCCATCTCACTTAAGTGACCACTTCTTTTTATCTTTCCTATTACTAGGAATAAAACTCATGAGAAGGCTTTTCCCAATCCACAATCTCTTGATCTAAAAGGGTTCTTCTAAAATTAAGCCCCATACCCAGTTCCAGCAGACCAGCATTGTGCTTATGATATCTTTTCTTCAGTTGATTTGTTGCCTCATCCTTAAAGTTATAGTTTCATTATTAGTTCTAATGTTCTAACAGTAATTTATCTCTCTTTGTGCTTATGATTGTATTATCTTCTTTAGGTTCATCTGCAACTGATTGGGCACAAGATGGAGACTTTTGTAATTGGTTAGAGCAGCATGTATTTGATTCAGAATGTGCTCAGGAGGAGAAGAGATGGTCATCCCAACCTCAACCAGATCCGAAACCTTTGTATAGAACATCCTCTTACCCTCAGCAACAACCTACACTACAGCACTATTCTAGTGAACCAATTCTAGTACCGAAATCTTCTTTCACATCCTTCCCTCCTCCAGGAAGTAGGTCTCAACATGGTTCACCTCGTCACTTACATATTTCATCCCTTGCGGATGGAAGTCAGTTACCCTTATCTGCACCAAACATCACTTCTTTATCCAAGGCTAATCTGCAGTTAGCTGGTATGCATCATGGCTTGCATTATGGAAGCAACATGCACCAGTTCACCACTCCCGGCCTTTCTTTTAGTAGCAGGCCACAAAATCAGTGGATTAACAACGCTGGTCTATTACATGGAGATCATTCACATCTGTTTAATAGTATGATGCAACAGCAACTATCTCATCAACATAGCCTTCTTTCCCCTCAGTTATTGTCAGCTCATCAACAGCTGCAACAGCACAGGCTACATCATCCAGTTCAACCATCTTTGGCGCATTTTGCAGCTCTTCAGTCTCAGCTGTATAATGCCCATTCACCATCCTCACATAGAGCAATGCTTGGATTGACTGATGTGAGAGATCAGAAACCTAAGTCGCAGAGAGGGAAACATAACATGCGTTCTTCTCAGCAAGGTTCTGAAACCGGTAGTCAAAAGAGTGATAGTGGATCCATCCAGTTTAGATCTAAGCATATGACAGCTGATGAGATTGAGAGTATTCTGAAGATGCAGCATGCTGCCACCCACAGCAATGATCCTTACATAGATGACTACTATCACCAGGCTCGTGTTGCCAAAAAAGCTGCTGGTTCAAGATCGAAAAATGCATTTTGTCCATCTCGAATAAGAGAGCTGCCATCCCGATCTCGTAGTGGTTCAGATCAGCATTCTCAATCCACACCTGATTCATTGGGAAAAATACCCCTCACTTCTATTCGTAGACCTCGCCCCCTCCTTGAAGTTGATCTTCCATCCTCAGGTTCTTGTGATGGTAGCACTGAACAGACAATACCTGAGAGGCCTCTGGAGCAGGAACCGATGCTTGCTGCTAGAATCGCCATTGAAGATGGTCTCTGTCTTCTCCTTGATATAGATGATATTGATAGGCTTTTACAACACAATAAACCGCAAGATGGAGGTGTCCAGCTTAGGCGAAGGCGTCAGATGCTGCTGGAAGGTTTGGCAGCATCACTTCAGCTTGTTGACCCACTTGGGAAAAGTAGCCATGGTGTTGGCCCATCTCCAAAAGAGGACATTGTGTTCTTGCGTTTGGCCTCTCTTCCCAAAGGTCGAAAGCTTCTTTCTAAATTTCTCAAGCTGCTCTTCCCTGGTAGCGAGCTTGCACGAATCGTCTGTATGGCTATTTTTCGTCACTTAAGGTTCTTGTTTGGTGGACTTCCATCTGATCCTGGAGCAGCTGAGACAACATCTAATCTTGCTAAGACTGTTTCTGCCTGTGTTAATGGTATGGACCTTCGTGCACTAAGTGCTTGTCTCGTTGCAGTTGTCTGTTCCTCAGAGCAGCCACCACTACGCCCCCTTGGAAGTTCTGCTGGAGATGGAGCCTCTATTGTTCTGAAGTCCATTCTTGAAAGGGCTACTGAACTGTTAACCGATCCTCATGCAGTTAGTAACTGTAGCATGCCTAATCGTGCTCTCTGGCAGGCATCCTTTGATGAATTCTTCAGTCTCCTTACCAAGTACTGTGTGAGTAAATATGAGACAATAGTGCAGTCATTATTTTCACAGACACCATCAAGCACCGACGTTATAGGGTCAGAGGCATCCAGAGCCGTCAGCCGCGAAATGCCTGTGGAGCTTCTTCGTGCTAGTCTTCCTCACACCAATGAGCCCCAAAGGAAGCTTTTAATGGATTTTGCCCAGCGTTCCATGCCAGTTGCAGGATTCAGCGCCCATGGTGGAAGCAGTGGGCAAATGAATTCAGAATCAGTTAGAGGTTAGGAATGGAAATCATGATGAAGTACCAGGTAAATGATGTTACCAGCAAGATGGTGATTTTCTGCATCGCCTCACCTCCTTCAAGAAGTGTAAACGTTCTCGGTGTTCGATGAGGCAGGACGCGATGACCGGTAAGTAGCTGGCCATATCACAGGAGTCAGCTTGAGGGGCTTCTACTTTATCTATCCATTTCAGCGTTTTCTTTTAACATTTCTTAAGGAAAAAAAAAAAAAAGTTCATCGAAAAATGCTTATTCTGTTTAATAATAGTCATGCATAAATGTGTATTATCAAAATTCTTAATGGGGTTGTGACGGGAGCTTTATTTTGGTGCTCTGTCTTTAACTTGAGGCTGAAAAGTCCAGAAAGTAGGTGTTGTAGAGAGCAGCAGTCATTCTGAAACTTTCAGGAGTCTTCTCTTTTCCAGACTGATTTTTCTTCTTTTATTTGGAAGATGTATGTTTGTTCAAAGTTTCTCCAGGCCATTCTCTCAGTGATTTCCCACAGCTGGATTACAAGTTTATGATGTCTTCTGGTAAAATTCTAGCTCTCCCTGTCTTTACATAAATGGGCTGGGCTTTAGGATAAGATTCATTTCTTAGTGGGCTGATTGTTGGGTTGTTGAGTTGTTGGGCTGTGGGTTGTACTCTCAATTTAAATGTAGAGGCACCATTTGGCCCAGCTTCTACCCCCTCCCCCCCAAATGTGTTTGATTCTTTTAGGATGCTTTATTTTCTTGCTGTCAAATGCTTCAGAACAAAAGATGCAGATTCTCATTCCAGAGATTAGTTTCGATTAGGTCGTGTCCTGATAGTTGTTTCTGTTGCACTGTAACTCGGGGCTATTGTGTTTTTGTTTACACGTTCAAAACGAATTACTTTCTTGTAGTACTTTTTTTTTGCTTATTTCCATTCAACAATACAAGAATGTAAGTAGAATAAGAGTACAAATGAAGAGTTTTTGATTGATCGATCGATCGATCGATCGTTTGATGATGTTGGGAGGCTCGAACTTTGCTTGAATCAGGTAAGCTGTTTGGTTATTACAATTTGTGATATGGAGACATTGATCGAATTCTTCTTGCTTTTCTCCTTTGTAGGAATCTCTGCAGAGATTTCTTAATGGGGAAACTTGCATTCCCATTCCCATTCCCACTCTTTGGCATTTGCAGCAGACTCAACCATTCTGGGTCGGTCCATCTCGAGTTGTTGCTATGCCTCTCTCGGCTTGCTACCCATAGTATGGCTCTTGCCTACAATGTTGTGTACCCAAAATAAACATTATTCATTAACTCTTTATTATCTTCACTGATCCCTATCTCTTGAATGTAGGCACGCCACGAAGTGGACTTCGACCATTGAACTATTACTAACAGATGCTCGGATTCTAAAGTGAGTTCGGTACGACTTTTTTTTTAATGGCATCTTTTAGAAAAAGCCTTCGAATCCCTTTTAGAGTTTCTAAACCCTTTTCACTAAGAGTTAGGGTAAAGTAAGCATATGAGTTTTAGAATGAAAAGAAAGGAGATGGGAGTGAGCAATTACCTGGAGCTCAGTAAAGTCACAAAGGGAAAGTGTTCCATTATAGAACACCATGATCTGCTGCTGTTGGTTCAAAGTAAATGGCGTAGCCATCCTACATCCATAAAAACACAAACCCAAATTCCAATTTCCATGTAAGTTTTAAACAAACAAGAAAATGAAGAACAAGAACAAGAACAAGTAGTTCTCTCTCACATGGAGGGAATTGCAGAGAATTGGAAGTTTGGCTCTGAAACAGAAGAAGATGGCCACAGCCCAAGCTCCAAACTGAACTCCCTTCCCATTTGCCAACCTCCAATACACAATCCCTTTAGCTCTAGAACTCCAATGACACCTCTTATATATAAGAGAGAGAGGGAGAGAGAGAGGGAGAGAGATGCTTATTTAGGCAAGCAGAAGAGAAGGTGCCTAATTTGGGGGTAATGCATAAGAGAAAATAAGAGAGTTATATAAAATATCTACACGTTTAAGAAGGGCTAAGCAAATGGGCATGTGCAAAACGAGAATTTGGAGAAACATGCGAACCAAACAGAGAAATTAATAGGCAAAAACAAAGGGTATCATATGCACAAATTGCAGCTCTTTTTGCCAAAAATGGCGATGGCAATGGGTAAAGGCATTAGGTTTGATTAGAGGTTTTGAAGGCGTTTGTGGAGATTGGTCACATGTGATGAATTGAAAGACATACAAAGTTCCCCACTTTGTTCTATCTTTCTCTCCATTTTCCACCCAAAATCGCCTTCTTTTCTTTTCTTTCCTTTTACTAATAAATCCTCGTTTTTCTTTCCGAATATCTCTCGTTTTCTTCCTCTAAATCGATTTGAATCGAAAATTGATTGGTAGGTCGAACAAATTAGATGAATAATCGAGAACCCGAATACCTATTTCATTTTAATGTTCTTGTTTGTTTCATAATTTTCACTTTTTAATCTCCAGGATATCATAATCTATACAACGTACTTTGAAAATACGTAATAACTGTGCTCGTTAAAAAAACATGATTCAGTAAGAATAGGAGATGGATAGAAAAAAAATTAAAAAAATACAATCGAACACTAATAAATGAATGATTTCCAAACTTTCACACCAAAAATGTCCTAAACAAATATCAAACAAAACTATAAAATTTGACACCCATAATTAAATTAAAGAAATGGGTAAGGTTCAACTAGAAATTTAATATTATTTTTTAAAAAATACGATAAAATCTTTATAAATACATCAATACTTTTTTTATATATAAATTGTATTTTTCTAATGGTTTTTTAAATTTTTATTTCATTTTAGTCTCTAAACAATTGAGTTTAGGTATTTTGGGTTGCCTTGTAAGTTTTATGGTAATTATTGTCTTAATTTCTTCTTTAACCATTCAACAAAACCCTTTACTCATATAACATTAATTATGATTATTTTAAATGCTAGTTTGGTATAGACACGAATCTATTTAATTAAGTAAATCAACCAAATTCATAACATCAAATTAATTTACATTTTAATTATGATTATTTTAAATGCTAGTTTGGTATAGACACGAATCTATTTAATCAAGTAAATCAACCAAATTCATAACATCAAATTAATTTACATTTTAATTATGATTATTTTAAATGCTAGTTTGGTATAGACACGAGTCTATTTAATTAAGTAAATCAACAAAAATCATAAAATCATAATTAATTTACATATTAATTATGATTTTGATTAAAAAAAGTCAAAGAACTAATGAGATTTGAAGCTATTTTTTTCCTTCCAAGTGGCACAAAATTATTGGAAAATTGTAAAATTTGTAAAAATAATTATTTATTTTTAAAGGGGTTCAGACAAAAATTAAAAATAACAAAAAAAAAAAAATTAAGGTTAGGTTTGTGGAGCTAAGAACAAGAATGTGTGCGCATTGATTAAAGCATGTGAAGTGCGCTGTAGGTCTCTCACATGGCACGTGCGAGTTGTTCTTATATTGGAAAAACACTGTTTCCAGCCACTCATGTGCCACCACGTGGATTTCACAATCTTTAAAAAAAAAAAATATCGCTACACATTGCTTGATGTTTGATTGATTTTCGGCCGCCAAACCTAATCAAATAAGTTCATATCAAAATTCGACACTTAGATTATTTTTCACTTTTCAGACGAAAAAGAAAAAAAAATAAATACACATTTGCAGATGGGGGATCGAGTAAGGTTAAAGAAGTGTAGTTTTCGTAATTTAAGATATGATACTGTAACAGTTCAAGCTCACCGCTAACATCTATTGTCCTCTCTAGGCGCCCAAAGATGACAATATATGTTTGCAATGAGTTTGGCTTGTTATAAATGGTATCAGACCCAGACACTAGGTGGTGTGCTAGCGAGGACGCTGGCCCTTAAAGGAGGTAGATTGTGAGATCCGACATCAACAGGGTGTGAAAACCTCTCCTTAGTATATACATTTTAAAAACTTAAGGGTAAGCCCAGGAAAACACATGGAGTACAATATCTACTCGCTGTGGACTTGAGCTATTATAAATGGTAGCAAAGCTAGATACCGAGCGGTTGGCTCCCAAATGAGGTGGATTGTGAGATCTTAAATTGGTTGGAGAGGAGAATAAAACATTAACAGGGTGTGAAAACCTCTTCTTAGTAGACGGGTTTTAAAATCTTAAGGGTAAGCCCGGGAAAACACAAGAAGTACAATATCGGCTAGCTGTGGACTTGGGGTGTTATCAGTTTTGGCTCGAAATATAATTAAAATAAATAAAATAAAATATTGTGACGAGTAAATGAGATGGAAGAAATTAAAAATAAAAATATAAGGTCAATTTGGGAAGAAAAAGACTTCCCCAAAGAAAAGTAGACAGAGATTTTAATTAATTGATGGATCCAACTTTATTATAAATTTGTATAATATTTTTTGCAAGAAAAATGTGGAATTTCCATTTTTGGAAAAAGCTTTGGATTGGAAGAAATGGCTCTTTTTTCGCCTTATTTCTATTTTTTTTTATATATTTTTCGAATTTTAATCTCGAAAAAATATTATTAAAGAGTCAAAGTATTTTAGGAAAAAAAATTGGAATTTACTCGTACCAAATGAGAGGTTGCATTTTTAAGCGAAGACGTAAACAAAATACCTATAAAAAAATCAAACACGTGAGTGATTATTTTAAGTACCTTATATTTACCAAAAGTTATATACTGTGAGCCAATGTTGTTACTCTCTTTCTTGCATATATAACATCTCTTTCAAAATCTCTCTCTATCCTTGTGTACTGAAACTTTCTTCTTAAATCGAGGTCTGAGGCTCGAGCATATGTTGTTTGGCCATAGGCGACGTAAGAATGAATTGGCTTAGCTCACTTGTTGTTGGAAGGTGAGTGTTGCACAGTTGCAAGTCCGCTGCCATCAAGAGTGCGACCGGTATGTTTAAGATTTCTTATTTAGTAAATTTATGAATTTTAAAAAATATCAAAATTTACTGATTAAATATATAATTAAAAAATTTGAAGGTACAAATAAATATAAATTTTTAAGCCATAAATAAAACGGTTAAATTATATATATATATATATAAAATACTCATTATGAACAAGTTTAAACTCGATAAAAAAAAATAGAAATAAAAATAGGCTCTCTCCAATAAACATGTTTTAAAATTGTGAGGCTGCTAGTGATACGTAACCGATTAAAGCGAATAGTATCTATTCGCGATGGGCTTGGACGGTTACAAATGGTATTAAAATCAGACATCGGATAGTGCGTCAGCAGGACGTTAGTTTCTAAGGGGTGGGTTTCATCTCCTCGCTATGGGCTTGGGCTGTTACAAATAGTATTAGAGTCAGATATTAGTGCATCAGCGAGAATGTTAGTCTCTAAGTATTATTTATTTATTTTTTGATAATTCTAACCTAAACGAAATTATACCCAAGGCGGGAAGCAAAACGATAGAAGAAAAAGAGGCAAATTTCAAAACCGAGTTCGATCGCGGAGGGAGAGAGATGAAATTCGAAGCTAAGAGGAATTTTGATTTCGATCTCGGAGATGACGACGACGACGAGGATTTTCTTTCGGAGGTGGCCGCGGCGGAAGCTCGTGCCCTAGCTAGTAAACGTAGAAAAATCCCCAATCATACCATCGATCCGCCCAAAAGAGCGATCGCGGAGGTTACGAGCAAAGTTTCCCCTAACGCAGATGCGGAAGGGATCTACATCGCCGCTTTGAAAGGAGACCCTATTATCCTCTCGCAACTTTCTGGTCGGATAGCCAATTCTGGAAATAAAGGGTTCATCTCTGCGAATACTACTGCTCATGCTCAATCGGAGGGTGGTGGCTCGTGTTTTAAATGCGGGAAATTAGGGCATTGGGCTAGAGACTGCGATGCTCCGGGAAGTGGAGGGTCTTTCAGCTTTTCAGGAAATGATACGTCTGTGGCCGAGAAATCATGCCCCTGCGGAATGGGAGTATGTGTAGTACTAACTGCGAATACGGAGAGGAATCGAGGTCGAAAATTTTACAAATGTCCCGTTCGACAGGTGAGGAGGCTGCGTTCTTTTTTTAGTATCCTTTCTTCCTCTTCCCCAATGGCCGCCATTGTTGAAGTCATGTAATGATGCCGCGCAAACTTGAGAAATGGAACAGCGATCTTAAGTTCTGATGAATTTATGTCCTTATTCATCGGTTTGATGCTGGGTTTTGTCAAAAATATATATGCAGCTATTAAGAACCTTGAGGAAGATATCGGTGTTACTCAAACCTATGTAGCATTCATGTAGAAATTAAATTAGTAATGCGTAATGTAATATTGCCACTGATTCATATAATTTTTCTTGACTAAAACAGTGTTACTAAACATAAATTTTGCTATACCATTGTTAGCTCAAAGCTCATTAGATACTTTTTCTTTACGCAATAACTTTTTATCATCACATGGTTATATATCATGCTCCTACTATCTTTTGATATGCATTTAATTGCTCTCAGGAAAATGGTGGCTGCGGATTCTTTGAGTGGTGTGACAATGCCTCTGCAACTAATATAATGACTTATGGAAGCCAAAATCGTGCATCAAGTTCTTCATTTTCAGACCTTAAGTGCCCCTGTGGTGCTGGTTCTTGCATAACTCTAACAGCCAAAACAGGGGAAAATGTGGGGCAGCAATTCTATCGTTGCCCTTCATACCAGGTAATTTTATAGCAGAAATGTTTGTGCAGCAGTTTTTATTGTCTTGTTTAGATTTCGGGTTGCTGAATTTTCATTTTCATATTAAGAAGAATGTCATGAACTATCCAATTATCTGATTGAACTGTGGCAAATCTTGAAATGTATACGCATTTGGTGCTTCATTCAGACTGATGGGAAGAAAGTAAAATTTGCTCTAATACCTTGGCTAAGTTTAATGCTTTTCCTACATTTGTCTCATTTTTTCAAATTTACTTTATGGTCCCAATTTTATGACTCTTCATCTTTGATCAATTGATTCCGCTGGGAGTTGAAAATTATGGTCTTGAAGGTGGCCTAGATTATTGCAAGCAGTTGAGCTTATCGCCAACTACTCTGCATATTTCTCGTTGGCTTAAATGACTAAAGTGTATAAAGACGGATGTTATAGTTACATTATAATGAACTAAGGAAAGAAAGCAACCTTAAGGGGAAGGAACCATTGCGGACGAATGTAATAAGAATATGCTTAATCCAAAAAAATTTAGCTTCATTATACCTTTATGTCAGGCTCATATATACCAATTTAAGCACAATCAAGAGAATATGAATGCCTACTCCAGGATGGGTAAGAAGGGCAGTAACCACCAGACAGTTAGTGGGAGGTTATGTACGGTTGTTGGGCATGAGATTGAGCTAGGCCTTTAAGTGTCAGGTTGTGTTTTAGGCAGGGGCATGGAATCTTTTGTAATAGGGCAGCCTTCTAAGGTTTTGAAGAGTTTGCTACCCCATTGAATTGGGCGGTTTATGTTCTTCTTGTTTCTCAATGGTGTTAACTTGAATTCAATCAAATAGCGAGGGAATACCCTTATGGAGAATAAGTGGATTGCCGTTTTTAGTGTTCTCCCTGCCTTTTAGATGGTGGGGTTTGTTTCATCTGTATATCACTTTGTCATGACATCCACTTGGGTTTGCTGTAACTTGTCATGAAGAATAGGTTCATGAATCTTTTAGAATCATGAACAATTGTGCTACATTCCCCTCTCCTATATATTGGAATTTATTTGGCTCATCTCCCATTCATTTGGTTCATCTCCAATTTTTGATACACGAATCATCTTGATTCATGTATGACACTAATGCTTTTATGCCTATATAAAGGGTTGTCTAAGATGGTTGAGAGAGACATTGAGTTCGATTGAGTTTGAGTGTCATTTTGGGAGGAACTTTATTGAGAGATACTACATGTAAAAGTGTGAGATATACACTCTGTAAACACTTCGATTATTGAGATTGGTTGCTGTCTGTAGAGGTAGAGGAATGTCTTCTCTACAAACCACGTAAATTTTTGTCTCTTTGTTTAATTTTTGTTTTGTGGATATGCGAGTGCGATCGATCTCGCTTCTGCTTCCGTTACAACACTTGTATCTCTTTAAATTTTCTAGTTATGAGGTAAGGGTAATTTCCAGCACCAACATCATCTGAACATAGTTCTCTGGAAATGCTTCGATGCTTGCAAATTGCACAAGTTGTACAGTACATATATATGAATTGATCTTCCTGTTGTAATTCCTCATAAGCGGTATTCAAATCTGTTCTGCAGGCAACTTGCGGATTTTTCCAGTGGTGCAAGGAGGCATCCATGGCAGCCAAGAATCAAGTGAGTGGCTCTAAGGTCTACGGCAACACAACCGACACAAGCAAAGGCATGCCTGCGACTGCAAGGGCGGGTTCTTCCTGTTATAAATGTGGGGGCGAAGGGCATTGGGCTAGAGATTGCTCGCAATCACTCGCACCATCAAACCAATCTTCTTCAGCTGGAAGCTGTTTCAAATGTGGGAAGCCTGGCCATTGGGCGAGGGACTGTTCTAATTGTTAATAACAGGTATTACCGACCCTCTGGCTGCTTCGTTTCAAGGTTTCTAGCAGTTGTTTAAGCTTGTAAATTCACAACTCACCTGACATTTTTGCTTATTTGGTACACACTCTCCTATTATGAATTTCACATTTACTCCTCTTGGGTGGATGATTTTGATATGGATTAGCTTAGAATTTGGTTTCGAACTCAAAAGGGCAACTCAAACTAAAGGAAAGACGGGCATTTCTTCGATCTATGACAACAAGGGATTGGACTCGAACTTACTCGTAACTTTATTTTGCTTAGTTCCTAAATTTAATGGAATTGGAGATGAGTTCAAGGAATTCAATACTTGCATGAAGACATTGACCATAGACCATGCTTAATGTTAGCTCTTGTTTTTTATATCATCAAAATAGTATATTATTTTATAAAATTCAAATATCTAAATATTTATTAAATTTTAAAATATCACAATTTTATTTAACTTATTGATTAGTATGTTTAATAAATCTTTAAAAATTTTAATTATATATTTTCGTAAAAATATAATTTTTTTTTTAATTTTTTTTATAAAGAATAAGTAGTTTTTATTGTACATAAATTTAAACATTAAACATTTTTTACCGCTTAAGAACGGAACCAGTATAAAATTTGTAATTTACCCTTATAAAGTTTGTAATTTATTTAAAATATTATTATTCTTAAACTTTTACAGGCGTTTCAAAATTATCATTAAAATATAAATTATAAATTATTTGTAGTTTTACACAAATGTTAGACATGACGATGACTTGTAGTGATGTGGCTGGCTGTTCAAATTTTAGTTCGAAGGTAGTTCTTAAACGTTTATAAAATGTGGAGGGTAATAATGTAATTTTTGAAAGAAAATACGTAATTTTTTTTTTTAAATGACAAAGTTTAGGGTTTTTTTTTAATAATTAATCATAGTTAAATCATAATATTGTTTTTGTATTAAAAAATCAGAATTTAATAATTAGAATCGTTGAATTGTTTGATTATCCAGTGGAGAATTAACAGCAAAATAATTAGCCTCGTCTTTCCTGTCGTTTACTATAAATTTTCTTCTTCTTCTTCTTCTTCTTCTTCTTCGCTCTCTCTCGCTCTAAATTCCCCAACTTTTCTGCAGAACGGAGGAGAGTAGTGCTGTGGTTTTTGTAGCGGATTGAGTGTAATTGAGAGTAGACACTAAGGCGAAAGAATCAGCGTTCTTGTACCGGATTCTGATTCCTGAGTTTCCAGATGACGAAGAAATATCGGAATGGGGAAATCTGGGAATTCGAGCGAGAAATGTCCGGCAGAACAGGCGGAGGAGGAGGAGGTGGAGGAGTTGGAGGTGTGATTCTTGGAATTGATGGAGGAACAACCTCCACCATCTGCGTTTGTGTTCCCCTTTTACCACTTCAGCAGTCTCTTCATCTTCCTGATCCTCTTCCTCTTCTCGCCCGAGTCGAAGCCGGCTGCTCCAACCATAACAGCGTTGGCGGTACTTTCTCTCCCTTTGTGCCTATACTTTTCTTCAATTTTGACTGGTCTTTCATTTTCTTCTGCACATGTTTCTCACTATTCTTCCTGGATTGGTGGCTGTATTTTGCTAGATTTTTTAATGGGAAGTTGTAGGGATAGGTTCAACCTTCTGGTTTCATTTATTCTACAGAAATGCGAGTAGCCTCAATTTTATCTGATTTTTCGTTTGGCATAACAAAAGTACATGTAGCATGGCTATAATCTGTGAATTTATTTAGTTTTCATGAAAGAACTTTAAGTTTGAAGGGATTAAATAATTTCAAGTAGCATGGCTTTATGAAGTTAATGAGACTATTGGTAGGAATTAGCCAAAGGGTGGAGATGAAACTCATAAAAGTAAGGAGACCATACTAACACAATTACAAACATAACGATGAAATGCATAATCTAACCAAAAAGACCAATGAAAATTCAAAGTTGCAATGCAGCGTAGACTAACTGCAACTTTTAAAACCTAGTCATCTTTGTGTCAATCGAAGGCAACCTATGAGTTGTTTTTTTGACTGGCTTTACTGGTTTGATGTTGTGCCATTTGATATGTTTTCAAAAACTAAGATGCTGAGAGTTAAGACAGTAAACTCTTCGTTTGAATTAGTTAGGAGAAAAATGGCTGGTTGGTTTCTAAGTTCTTTATATGAGATTTTAGTATTGTAGGTCCTTGGAGTAAATTTGCTTCTCCCTTTCAGAAACTGCTGCAAGGGAAACGTTGGAGCAAGTTATGGCTGAGGCTCTTTCAAGATCAGGTTCAGATCGGTCTGCAGTTCAAGCTATTTGTTTATCTGTTTCTGGTGTAAACCATCCAACGGACCAGCAAAGGATTTTGAATTGGCTCAGGTATGGGCCATGGAAAGATTCTTAGATGTTTCGATGAAACTATGTTCCTTCTGTCATTGGATTTATCGTGATGGAGCATGTTATATACTCATTTTTTAATCTAAAATCTTAGGATGACCATTGTTCTTTCTACTTAGTTCATAGAGTGTTGCGGACTAATTTTAGCTGTTTATACTATACATATCCCTTAGTGGTGTACTTATACCCAAATATTCATTAACGATCTGAGTTAGGTCTCAAATCAATTCCCAGGATCCAAGCTGCTATTCCATTCACAAGCTTTTTTGTTCTATTTCATATGATATCTGAATCTCATGTTTAGGGATCAAGTATGTTTTTATACGCTTCTGATTATGTGCAGAGATATGTTTCCTAGCCATGTCAAACTCTATGTTCGAAATGATGCTGCGGCTGCTCTTGCAAGTGGTACCATGGGAAGGCTTAGTGGTTGTGTTCTAATTGCCGGCACTGGTAGTATTGCTTTTGGATTTACTGATGATGGAAGAGAAGCTCGAGCAGCTGGTGCAGGACCAATCTTAGGCGACTGGGGAAGGTCTCTTTCTCTCACTCCCTCACATGGACGCACACTTTTAAATTGGGTTATGATTGATCGTATGGGGATCATCTTATTTGTTTCCTAATACTTGTCTCATTATTCCTTGTTGATCATGTGGTGAATTTTAATTTTTACTCCCATAGTATCATTCTCAATATCGAGCACGTGTGTTCATAATCAGTCGAGGTTTTAGAGTAAAGTAACTATATGAAATACTATATAACTCATCGGAGTTGTTAAGATAATTTTGTTTCATTTTTGTTTGTCTGTTTCAATTATGTTTGTGTTTTAAAATTATGTTGCTGCACTCCATGCTGATCTATATTGATACATCTCTGAGAGTGTTGTGCATTACGTGCACATTTTTATTTTCTTTTGCCACTTTTCATTGAAGGTGATACTTTTTGTAATTTCAGTGGGTATGGCATATCAGCGCAGGCTTTAACTGCAATTATAAGAGCGCATGATGGTCGTGGTCCTCAAACAAAGCTCACAAATAGCATTCTTCAGACTCTTGGTCTTTCTTCTGCTGATGAACTCATTGGGTATGTACACTTGTCAATTGGCATTACCTATCACAAACTTCACTGTCTCCTCTTTTATATTCTTTGGTGCTGTTTTCGGACAATGTAAATTAAACACAGTAGAAGGAATAAAATATGGTATGAAAAGTACTGTATCGTGCATGATTGATTAGGAATGGATCACATATATTTTTGGTTATCATTGAAAATTAGGTGGACCTACGCAGATTCATCTTGGGCTCGAATTGCTGCCCTTGTTCCTGCTGTTGTGTCATGTGCAGAATCAGGGGACGAAGTTGCAAACAACATCTTGCAAGATGCAGTTAAGGAATTGGCTTTAAGCGTGAATGCCGTTGTTCAAAGACTCGGATTGTCTGGTTCAGGTACTGCAATAGTGGAAATCTTCGGTCGTAGTTAATGGACTTGATTCTCCTGTCCCCAAAGCTGGAAGTGCTTTTTTGCTATTAAACCCCCTTTGACACCTGTAACAGCCCACGCCCACTGCTACTAGATATTATTTTTTTTTTTGGGTTTTTCCTTTCGGGTTTCCCCTCAAGGTTTTTAAAACGCGTCTGCTAGGAAGAGGTTTCTACACCATTATAAAGAACACATTTGCTAGGGAGAGGTTTCCACACCATTATAAAGAACGCATTTGCTAGGGAGAGGTTTCCACACCATTATAAAGAACGCATTTGCTAGGGAGAGGTTTCCACACCCTTATAAAGAATGCATCGTTCACCTGTCCAACCAATGTAGGATCTCACAATCCACCCCCTTTGGGGCCCACTGTCACCCTTATAAAGAATGCTTCGTTCTCCTCTCCAACCGACGTGGATCTCACAATCTACCCCCTTTCGGGGCCCAGCGTCCTCGTTGGCACTTGTTTCTCTCTTCAATCGACGTGGGATCTCACAATCCACTCCCATCGGGGCCTAGCGTCCTCGCTAGCACACCGCTCAATGTCTGGCTTTGATACCATTTGTAACAATCCAAGCCTATCGCTAGCAGATATTGTCCTCTTTGGGCTTCCCCTCAAGGTTTTTAAAACGCGTCTACTAGGGAGAGGTTTCCACACTCTTATAAAGCATGTTTTGTTCGCCTCTCCAACCGATGTGAGATCTCACAATCCACCTTCCTTCAGGACCCAACGTCCTTACTGGCACTCGTTCCTCTCTCCAATCAACGTGGGATCTCACAATCCACCTCCCTTCGAGGCCCAGCATCCTTGGTGGCACTCGTTTCTCTCTCCAATTGATGTGGGATCTCATATTCTTTGCGATAAAATTCGTCTCAACTTATTTCTCTTTGGATATGTACTTAAATGTGCAACAAAATTGATGGTGAATAATCTCAGTCTATGTGCCTTTAAAAGCTTTGGAGATGTTCTCTGTCTATTTATTATTTGTGGGTTTGTGTAAAATGCTAATGATCGTGGATATTCTTTGGAATTAGGATTCCTAGAAACTTCTTGTAGATTCAGTTAAGAAAAGAATGAAGGGAACCATGCAGGCAAATGAGGGTTCAATAACAGGATAATACTTTCCTTTTTGAATTTTTTAACCAAAGCTTTACCCGCAACTCTCATTGTTAGCATTAACATTGCAGATGGAAAGGGCTCTTTCCCCCTTGTCATGGTTGGTGGAGTTATTGAAGGAAATAAAGGATGGGGTATAGCGCAAGAAGTTATAAACTGCATTTCCAAGGACTACCCTGGGGTAGTTCCCATTTGGCCTAAGGTAATCATATTGTTTATTACCCTCTCTTATCTGCCAGTGTTTTTACAAATATTCAATGAAAACATGTTCAGTTATTGTTCTTAAATCTTTCCATGGACAGATTTGATTCTTAGAACAATAAAACATTGTTCTTTCTTCAAATCACAAGTATATAAACAGTGATTCCAGATGTGCAAAATAGCCCTGCACGTATCTGTTCTTTGTTCCCATGCTTTCCTTTATATGCATATGAGGCCTTGCAATAATCATCCATACATTTTCTTGAACTAAAACCAGGTGGAGCCTGCAATTGGGGCTGCATTGTTAGCCTGGAATTTCTTGAAAGATTCCCATCAAGAATAAGGCTTTTAAAAAAGTGACCGACAAATATTCGTAAGTTGTCATGAATTGTACAGAAGCAAAAATTCTGAAGGGGGCAATGAGCTATTTAAGTTCTCGGTATTAATATAGGCAATTTACTAACGTATATTGCGTCATTTTATTTAATAATCATTGGGTGATTGAAGAAATAAATGCTGTATCTGCCACTTGACAGAGGATGTGTTCAAAGTGATGTTAAAACATCAATGCATGATTTTAGTGCATTTGCTGCAATGTCTGTGTTACTATCAACTTGAAAGCAATTCTTTGGCTCAAGTACTTGAGCTCTTTATTTTGGTTCTTTGTTCCATTGATCTGTCAATGTGGATCTTTTTTTTCTTTCATTATTGAACGAGTGAGATTTGAACTTTTCACCTTTTCGTCTCATAATTAGTTAAACTATGCATAAATCTACGTTTTTTCTCTTAATCTAAATGCAGAGCGGAGGGAATAAATATCCCAAATAGTTAAAGTATCAAGCTTCCTCCGTCTTTTTAAATCATTGTGTATAAGAATATTGAATTGTTGTTAAATTCTGTTTTCCTCTAATAATGCTTGAAAATGAAGAATTGGAATGAACGGTTTATTTATTTTAGTGAATTATAAAATATACGTGGGGTTTGAAATTGATACGATTTTTTAAAAAAATGAAAAATGACACTAACGGTAAATTTTTCATTCAAGTTTATTAGTTTTGTGTCGGTCGTGATTTTTTAAAAAATTAGTATTGTTGTTTAAGTATAGATCTTAATTTGATAAAGTTGACAACATAAGATTGGATGTCATTTTTCAATATTTAATATTGTGTTTATTAAAATAATTTTGGAATTGATAATGACATCTATTCAAACGAAAAATCTCTAATCGTAAGGTAGTATATATCTTTCATGTAGTTTAATTTGATAACCACAAGTCAATGTCATCAATAATAACCCTCACCTGTTTTACATATCGCCATCATATTTTATTAGGACCATTGTAGTATGTGCATTAAATCCATTAAAGGCATGATAGCGACACTTAAAACATGTGTATAGTTTTTTACATTTTTGGAGATATTTGTATGTCGTCGATTTTTATCATAAAAAAAATAATGAGGGGCAGAGATTCAAACTTTTAATATATTGGTTAAAATATATATTTTAACTAGTAGTAGTCGTATATTTAAGTCGGTTAAAATCATGAATTTCAATAAATTCTCTTAAAAAAAATTTAAATATTCAACACCCGTAAAATTTGATCTCTCTAGTAAATACGAACACGAACAAGATAATGAACTAACAAATTTTAGTGAAGAAAACCCCCCCCGAGTGGAAGAACTCCCATTATGTAATTAGAGCTGTATTCATTATTATCGTTCGTTTATAGCAAGCTTAGCTAAGTCCATAACCACACAAGGTCTCATAAATCAAGACTTGGTAACTTTAAGTACAATCCATTTATGCTTTCATAAAACTAATAAGCAGAGAACAATCATCATGTTACAGCGCCAAATTAATGGCATTTAATCCCCCAGACATCAGGATTTTCTTTGCTGCTTCTGGACATGATCTGATGAATTCACAGCCCACCACCAAGAGTATTACATTCGGGAAATTAACAATGGGACTGATAACGGAGCTTCATCAACCATGATCGCCTGCAACAAATCCAGATCCCCATAACGCTCTAGAAAACGCACCCTGCAGTCCTCGGCCGCCATCAGACCGGTTGAGTATGCGCCATGCACGGATCCTGGATAATTGATACTCATAGCCTCCCCGGCGAAGAAGAGGTTGTCGACAGGGATCCTCAGCCATTCAAACAGATGATGGGGTTTGCCTACCATGTCGTAGCTGTATGATCCAAGTGAGTTGACATCTGATCCCCATCTGGAAACTAGATGCTGAATCTACAAGATGTGGAGATACATTCAACATTGAGTTCATATTGCAATCGTGTTAGCATTCGACTTAACGTATGATTATGACTTGGACTTACCGGGGTGGGCGCGTTAGGGACGACCTTCTTGAGTTGCATGAAAGCAAAGTTAGCAGCTTCTTGATCCGACATTTTCTCGATGTCTCTAGCAAGTTTCCCAGAAGGCATGTAAACAAGGACAGGATGGCTAGTGGCCTTGTGAAGATTGAGGAAGTAGCTGCAATTCTGTGATGAATCAGCAACAACTCCTAAAAACTCCACGTTTGGCCAAAAAGCAGTTTCGAAGTGCAAGATTATTTTGTTTTCAAGACCAACTCCAATGTCAGCAATGGCTGCCTCCTTCCAGTCTGGAAGCTTGGGCTCAAACTTGATGACGTTTGCTTTAAGCACCCCAAGAGGAACAGCAACAACAGCAGCATCAGCTTTGAATGTTTTTCCGTTTTCCACTGTTATCTTCACTCCAGTATATTGTCTGGATATTTTTGTAACCCTGAAAGCCGACAGAATTCAGGATCGGTCGATGCATAAAGAAACAGAGGATGATGAAGAGGAAAGGCAACTGAATTACCTATGACTGAGGCGGATGTCAATACCCTTAGCTAGAGTGTGAATAACAGGTAGGTAGCCCCTGACCATAAGTCCATGCCCACCAGGGAGCAGTTCTTCCTGAACATATAGAACAAGAAACTTTACAAGGATGGACTTTACAGACTATCAAATCCAAAAAATTATAAATAAGAAACTGCTACAAAGATAAGAAAGAGGAAAAGAATTTAATCGCTCATTTCTCCTCTGTGTGCATGTTATATATTGTTCATATATACTTGAATTCAACGGGACTGGTAGGTCAGCATCGTGATAATATAAACACGGCCATGTGTAATAAGTAACATGCGACACATCAATTGGGTTAAGCTACATGAGAGCATACCCAATTGTAAAAACATGAACAGATTCCCAAGACCATAAGTTAGAAATAGGAATAGAAAAGTTTTCAAAAACAAAGAAAAAAAACACTAATTGAGAGAAAAAATGTTCCACCCTCTTGTCCTCCACAAGTAAATAATGACCCGGCTTTCAAAGCTTGATTAGAAAAATGATAATCACCGTAGGAAGTCAATAGTGTAAAAGAAAAGGAACTTGCCTGATCCCAGCCTTTAAGTGAGATAGTATTGGCATCTGCAGAAAACCATCCTTCCATCCTGCATAAATACCATTGAAGAACCTTATGAGCAAGCCCTTCCAGCCTGCATGCAGAGAAATCATATAAGTATATGTCTACAAGTAAAAAGTGAAACTGTGTGTCACTGACTTGATAGTGTAAGTCATAAATGGCATTGGTAGTGGTTTGTTTTTCTTGGGGGGAAATAACTTGAACGTTTTACAGTACTGTCAGTCTACTTATACACATTATCTTCCATGCAGACAACAAACCTTAATTCTGGTTTCCTTTCGAAGACAATGGAGATTGCACGGAGTATGGATATGTCGTCACTTTGTTCCTCTCTTACAGTTTCTGTCTGTATAAAGCAAGAAAGCAAGATCAAAGGGTATCAATAATATGGTTTTAAAACCCAAGGCGCAGAAAAACAAAGTTGTTTACTTTATAAATTAGGAAACATGAATTATGTATTAGTACATTGTATTATTAGATCAAGCGAGAAGAGAATTAGACTAGAGAAAGGAAGGGCATTGACTTACCTCTTTCAAGATCGTTTCAAAGGTTTTGCCAACTTTTGTTACTACCTCTGGAGGAACTTGACTCCCATCCATATCAAAAAGTGCATAACTGATATGAAGTTTATGTTAGTAATAAACCAAAAAAGAACTTCGTTAAAAGAAATGATAAAATGAAGCTCTGAAGAAACAGATGTACACAATAAAACTTAAATTTATAAAAAAAAAACTACTGCATTCTCTCTTCAGCAAGATGTATAAAACTTCAAAGACCAATTTAAGTTGAAATCTTACAAGAAACTGCTGTTCACTTAAAACTAATAAAGGTAAGAAGAAAATTTCTACGAACCAAGTTATTTGACCAAATCAATATATCAAAACCAAGTCCTGGAAATCGAATTTTAAAGATGAACAAACAAGCACTTTCAATCTTCCTTTGAAAAGAAAAATGGAAACACTAACTAACTGAACCAAAACAAATGGCAAGATATCTATCATTTTTCCATCCTGAGATTGCTTTAAAACCACTCCCTACCACAATTCGTATATTAATAGCAGATGTAAACAAATATTTAAGAGACTACCCATGAGATTAGTATCCACCTGCAGGACTTGCTTTCATTTGCATCAGCTTTAAAAAGGATCCAACTCATATATAGGATGGATTCCTTTTCTTCCTGAACAAATCAATTCATTGTTCACAGAGGAAATCAAAGTATGGGACTCCAAAATAACCGAAATGGCCTTTGCTCCACATCAGGATAATACAGTTTTCATGGTAAGATTTATGAAAAAAATAAATAAAATATTTAAAGAAAAATGAACACACCAAAAGAATTGACTCGATACCTTTCCAAATCATGGTCATATAACACAGAATTATCCTCACTAGTTCTGTATAAGGGTAATCCCAACCTGCCAATCAAAGGGGCCAACGGATTTTCCTCACAGACCCCGTGCAACCTGCAGATCAGAAGTAAGATGTAACTCTAAATCTAAACATACACAACGATAACGATACAAGGTCTTCGAAATTGAAACGAAACTAAGAGCTAACCATGATGCTCCAAGATCAACAGGAAACCCAAAGGTATAATCAGTGTGAATACGACCACCAAGTCTGTCTCGTGACTCCAAAAGGGTTACCTGATCAAAACGAACAAGATTAAGAACAAATTGAAAACATATAAAGAAAAAAAAATAAATACATTCCATAAAATAATTCCGATCCCTGTTTCCAGTGATACGATCACGTCGATACTAGCAATTTCATAATACATTCTTCAGTCTTACCTGAAAAGAGGCGTCGTGGAGAGCACGAGCAGCCGCAACTCCAGCCATACCACCGCCGATCACTATGACAGACGGCGGCGATCTCATCTGATGCGACTGGGGGTTGGGATAGCAAATTTCTGCCACGGAAAAGAACTCCATTAAGATCTAAGATTCACTACTATAGTCTAAAACGATTCTCTTACTCTGTACCTTCGTGTGCGTGAGGAAGAGAGAAGAAAAGAGAAGAGAAGAGAAACAAACCTCCACGCAGTTCGGAATTACTCTTGGCTCCTGATTCCATTACGATTATCCGAAGTTAAACTCGAATTAGCGACGAAAGCGAGTAAGCAAGTACAGAGACTAAGATGATGAACAAGCGATCGCTTATAAAATTCAAGCGAAGGAGGAAACGATTGAGGGGAATAATGGAGGATGAAGATCAACAAACGAGTAAGGAAGTGATTGCAATTCGTATTCACGTTCAGACCCAGCTTTCCCAACCAGCTCATGCGCTTCAATTTCCAGACTCCTGAAGCCACACTGAGTTCAGTTTTCCCGTCGGATCGGCCGGAATTCCGAAGATCAACAGCAGTTTCAGTGTATCGGAGACGATTTTTGCTCAGAGACGGAAGATTTTCGGAATTCCACAAAAATCAAACTGTTCTTAGCGATGGAAAATTCTAGAGAGAGAAAATAGAAATTACTGAAATGTTCAGATCGTTTTTGGTTTTCTGTCATCCGACTTCCACCCTTATATATAGTATTTGGAGAGGTGATTTTATCGTTTACCATTTTTCTTTTAAATATTATTTTTAAAAATTAAATTAGAAACTTTTTTAAAATATTTGAATTTTGATTTAATTTTTTTTATGTGTTTCAAATATTTAAAAGTTCGGTAGGTTAATCTCCGATTTAAATTTTAAAAATTAATTTCTATCTAAATTTATTAAATAACAATATATATTTTTTATAAAAAAAATATTTATTTTTTTTTTAAAAAGTAACTAAAATAAAAATAAATCTCCAGCATAATATGGTATTTTCTTTTTTTCCTTTTATAAAATATTATAAATTTATTTACATTTGACCATAAATTACCATATTTTTAGTCGAGGATTAGTCTTGGTTGCAATTAAATAAAAATAAAATAAAATTTATTAAGTTATTATCTTTTTTAAGTTTTTTTTTTAAAGGTTAGAATTAGACAGCATAAGTTAATTAAATTAATCACATATATTATCATTTTTTTAGGTGTATTGTTGAATTTAAATTTCTCACTCTATGTCATTTAAGCTATTTTCACTTTAATTACGTGTATTATTATCGAATATTAATAAAATTGACGTGTTAAATTTCACTCTCAATATTTATAATAATAAAAGTTAACACAATTAATGGGAGAGTTTTAGTTTAAAAATTTGGCACTTTCTTTTAAAAAAATACTTATTATCAAATATTTTTAGTTAATTTATTGGAAGTTTTTTTTTTTTTTTTTGTTGGTGGGAGTAACTTTTGAATGATAAATATTGTATTTAAAAAGATTTAATTGTTCTTACCTAACTACATAAAAGACCTATCCATTTACATGTAATTTTTTTTAATTAAAAGAAATATTTGAATTTTAAAAGGTATTTTATTTTAATTGTTCAATTTTCGATCATTAAAGTTTCAAGATTAAATTATTTAAATATATATTAAAGATAAATTTATCTTTATTTAAAATATTCCATTTTTATCCGATAATACGCCTGTATGGATAATTTTTAAAAGACTTTTATTTATTAAAATTCGGTTTACAGATGAGATGGAATCAAAATTACTGTAGTTATTTGGAATCAGAATATCAAAAAAAAATGTGAACATTATTTGTTTTCATCCGGAACAAAAATTTAAGAATAAAATGTTTTTTTCAAGCCATTATGAGAGGTTAATCTGATTGGAAGACGTTTTTTATTTGGTAAGTGTTCTCTTCTCTACTCTTAGTTCTAAACTATCGGCCTAAGAAAAATTTAACTTGTCATCAATATTGAGAGCAGTATCTCGGGTATTGAACCAAAAAAATGCAATATAACCATTTTATTATTATTATTATTTGTTATTAATTATGTTTTTCTAATTTTGGATTAAATTATGTTTCCTAATTATTTAATTATTATTGCTATTCAAGGTAAATAAACCTGGCTTTTCACGTTCTTAATGATTAAAAAGATCATATAATTAACTAATAAACGTGGCAAATATTTAAATAAAATAAAATAAAATAATGGGGGGGTGGGGGCCAGGGGTACTAGTGGAAATAATTTTGTTGGACTTGGGTTGGTAGAATGAGACTTTTTCGGAAGTGGGGACCACCGTTTTGGGATTGGCTGACAAGAGAGAGAGTTACATAAGTTAGGTACAGGATTGGAGGGCTTGAAGTTGCCACGTGGAAATACATTTACTTTTGCGTGACGTCAGCTTAAAAAAAAAACACTATTTTGGGTTGTTAGAAATTGGTAATTTTCTACATTGATTTTCTCGTTGGGTCGGTGCAGTGGGCCACGATCTATTTATTTATTTATTTATGTATTTTTTATTAATATTTTTATTTTCATCTAATTTTAAAATTTGAGAGTTTAAATTATAAATGTTAGATTAAGTTAAAAATAAATAAATAAATAAATTATTAGGATTGGGTTTAATTTTTAAATAATTTTAAATTTTGTTTGAAAATTGAATTATCAGATTACTTACTTTTAAAAAATTAAAAATATCTAACTTAATGGATGTTAGTTATAATTTTAAAATTTTAAAATTTTAAAATTGTGTTTATTTTTTTTACGATTTATTCAACCGCTTTTATTTTAGAAATATTTATTATAAAAAAATAAAAATAAAAATACTGGTTTGTACGCACGCTCACATGTCTATGTCCATCAAAAAAACTTCGCCACGTGTTACAAGTTTCATTTTTAATTATTATCCAGTTTGAAAATGTCTCGCAATATCATTATTATTATTATTATTATTATATATAATATAAAAGTTTATCATATCACAGTTAATATTTATATTTTAAAAAATCCTTTCAACAGATCTAATTCTCTTTTTTACTGTGTGAGCGGTCCTATATTGGTTGGAGAAGAGAACAAACCACCATTTACAAATGTGTGAAAATCTTCCCCTAGCACGTTTTAAAGCCTTGAAAAGAAGCCCGAAATGAAAAGCTCAAATAAAACAATATCTGCTAACGGTGAATCTGAGCCAGACATCGAACAATGTGTCAGCCTTCTCACTATTCCCCGAAGAGAGTAGACATAGGGCAGTGTATCAGTAAGGACGTTGGGCCCCAGATGGGGATGGATTTGAGGGCGGTCCCACATCGGTTCTCGAAGGGGATAGACACGAGGCGGTGTGTCAATAAGAATGCTGGACTCCAAAAGGGATAGATTTGGGGGCGGTCCCACATCGATCGGAGGAAGGAAAAAGTGCTAGCAAGGACGCATCATATACTAAAATAATCACGTGTGGAGTACATTATTTGATTATTAATTTAAAACACTTTAAATTATATTAACATTTTCGTTATTTTAAATCAAATATTATAATTTTTAATTTTTAATTTTTTTTGTTCTTAAAGTTTAATATAATTATTCCGTTTACGTTATTTCTTATTGATTTATGGGTTAAAAGAATATTTGAACATGTAATTAATTATAAAATTTAGTCCTTTTTAAAAGAATATTTGAATGTGTGAATAATTATAAAGTTCAGCCCTTTTTAAAAAAAAAATTAATATACAAATTAGCTTAACATTATTGGAATATTATTTTTAAAGATAAGGTAAAGTAATGGCATTTATAAGTGGGGTGTCACATAGGGACCTTTCAATTTAAGTAGATATTATTACTTTTTAAAAATATTAGGAAATTATCATATGATAAAATTTGAAAATCAGAACAAACATATAATAAAAGTTGATATTGACAAGTAATCAATTGGGTGTCAGTGGAAGGACCTTTCATTTATCCTCTTATTGTCAATTAATTTATAAAGTTATCAAATTATATTTTAATTTCAAAATAATAACATCCGATATTTGTTTTTTCGAGCTAAATTAATAAAAATATTATCAAATTTTACATTTTGTATAAATAAAATATCTTTAAATTTTTAAAAATTTCAGACAATATTTTTAAATTCTTAAAAAAGATTAAAAAATATTTATTGAGATCGTTAATGGTTTGTTTATGTTTCTACGGGTATATATATATATATTTTACTTTCAAAAGGGTAATTAATATTTATTTTAAAATAAGAAAAAAAGAATTTCAAACTTTTAAATTTTTTTTTAAAACGTCAAAAACACCTTTAAATTAAAAAAAAAATTAAAATACTCTTATTATTAATACCACGAATAATTGTTCAAAAATAATATAAAAAAGTTTCGAGATAATTTATACTGTCGATGGACAATAAAAAAAATTATAATTTTTTTTAATAAGTGTTAATACTACTTCTAAAATTTTTTAGGTATTTTTTAAATACGATAATTATATTTTATTATTGAAACTAGGACAGTTTCACAGTATTTTTAGATTTTCTTAAATTATAAATTATTTTAACTATATTTTTTTTAAAATTTTTTTAATGAAACAAATGGTAACAACGACCTTAACCTTCTATGCAAATGTAAATAACATCACGCACGGTTTCAAAATTTTACACATAAACTAACACGTCAAATTTCATAATTTATTTTAACAAAAATGAATATTCCAGTTATGAATGGTATATTTTTGAAATGAACTCCGAAGTTCAAAGACGAAAAATAAATTTTTTCAAAATTAACGTGAAAATTGTAACCCGAATTTCGAAGGATTATAATTTAATATTAGATATGCATGGTGTAAATGTGCACATAATAAGGTCACTTTATGGCACATAGCTTGGAAAGGACTTGTTTGGCATATACGCACCGTCCAATAAAGCCCTCTCTTTTCATGGGAGGACAGAGTCACGTGCTAAGTTAACATATTTGTAAGTAAAAGGTAACATATTTCTCAGCCTTTGACTAATTTTTTTTTTTAATTTTAATAATTAGACTAAATTAATAAAAATATATGTTAGACGAACACGACTCTTCACAATGGTATGATATTGTCCACTTTGAGTATAATCTCTCGTAACTTTGCTTTGAGCTTCCCCAAAAGGCTTCATAGAGCCCAAAGCAAAGGCACGAGAGCTTATGCTTAAAGTGAACAATATCATATCATTGTGGAGAGTCGTGTTTGTCTAACATGGTATCAGAGTCATGCTCTAAGCTTAGTCATGTCAATAGAATCTTCAAATGTCAAACAAAGGACTCTAAAAGAAAACGGGGTCAAGGCTCCTTGAAGGTATAGTAAAAAATGACTAAGACTCTAAAAGAAAAAGGAGTCGAACCTTGATTAAGGGGAGACGTACTTTGTTCGAGGGAGATGTTGGATGAAAGTCCCACATTAGCTTATTTAGTGAATGATTATGAGTTTATAATGAAGGAATATTATTTCTATGAGAGCTTCTGCTCACCGTATTTTTTTTTTAATGAGAATTGTTTTAAGGAGTTTTTTTAATTAATATTTTTACTATTATTTACACGTGGTGCTTCAAGAATGAGGGACATATATTTAATATTCATGTACTTTAATATTGTAAATAACAATTTGTAGGGGCGTGAATGTAAATTTGAATTTATTTGTTT